GCAGTGAGTCACTTCCCCTCTCTGAGTTTCCATCATTCTTGCTTTTGTTTGGGGGCAGTAAAACAATGCAGAAAAACTCTAAAAATAATAACAGCCACGAATAGTCCCACCACCTAGCGGTGGCCCCTGATCATTAGCTGCCAGACGTATTTCTTTTCTTTTCAGACAGAGTCTTGCTCTCTTGCCCAGGCTGCAGTGCAGTGGCGCAATCTTGGCTCACTGCAACCTCCACCTCCTGAGCTCAAGCAATTTTCCTGCCTCAGCCTCCCGAGTAGCTGAAACTACAGGCATGAGCCACCGCGCCCAGCTAATTTTTGTATTTTTAGTAGAGACAGGGTTTCACCATCTTGGCCAGGCTGGTCTCCAACTCCTGACCTCAGGTGATCCGCCTGCCTCGGCCTCCCAAAGTTCTGGGATTACAGATGTGAGCCACCTGGCCTGGCCTCACCATTCTTTTCAAGATAAAAAGCTATTATGAATTGCCCATTGATATAGAGAGTATTTTTAAATAGAGAATATGATTATATAGAGTATGATTAAAAAATAGAATACAGGCCGGGCGCGGTGGCTCAAGACTGTAATCCCAGCACTTTGGGAGGCCGAGACGGGTGGATCACAAGGTCAGGAGATCGAGACCATCCTGGCTAACACAGTGAAACCCCGTCTGTACTAAAAAAATACAAAAAACTAGCCGGGTGCGGTGGCGGGCACCTGTAGTCCCAGCTACTCGGGAGGCTGAGGCAGGAGAATGGCGTAAACCCGGGAGGTGGAGCTTGCAGTGAGCCGAGATCCGGCCACTGCACTCCAGCATGGGCGACAGAGCGAGACTCCGTCTCAAAAAAAGAAAAAAGAATATAACATAATGAATACATAGGAAGAAAAGACTATGCAAGACAGTGATCTCACAACACTCCTAGAAGATAGGCATTGTTATGCTTCTCACTTTACGTATGAGGATCAGAGGCCCAGAGAGGTTGAGGCACTTGCCTGGGGTCACACAGCAATTGAAGCAGGATTTGAACTCAGGAGTCTGGTTTGAGAACTTGGGCTGGGTAGGTTTCCATTGCAGGTTATTTACCACCTTTCTTTTAACTACTGCCTATGAATGGGCATTTACACTGTCATTGGTGTTTTGTATTGCTTAGTAATAATGGCATCTAACTTTGAGAATTACTCTTGAAATCTGATGCCTTTTTTTTTTTTTTAGGCGAAGCCTCGCTCTGTTGCCCAGGCTAGAGTGCAGTAGCACGATCTCAGTCACTGGGACCTCCGCCTCCTGGGCTCAAGCAATTCTGTCTGCCTCAGCCTCCTGAGCAGCTGGAATTACAGGCACCTGCCACATTTCCTGGCTCATTTTTGTATTTTTTTAGTAGAGATGGAGTTTCGCCGTGTTAGCCAGGCCAGTCCTGAACTGCCTACCTCAGGTGATCTGTCTACCTCGGCCTCCCAAAGTGCTGGGATTACAGGCAGGAGCCACTGCACCTGCCTGTCTTTGTTTTTTTGAGATACGATGTTGCCGTGTCACCCAGGATGGAGTGCAGTGGTGTGATCACGGTTTGCTGCAGCCTAGAAACTGGGCTCAAGAGATCTCCCATTTCAGCTGCCCAAGGAGCTGGGACCACAGGCACCTGCTACTCTGCCTGACAATTTTTTTTTTTTTTTTTTTTTTTTGAGACGGAGTCTCGCTCTGTCGCCCAGGCTGGAGTGCAGTGGCCAGATCTCAGCTCACTGCAAGCTCCGCCTCCAGGTTCCGCCATTCTCCTGCCTCAGCTCCGAGTTACTGGGACCACAGGCGCCGCCACCTCGCCGGCTAATTTTTTGTGTTTTAGTAGAGACGGGTTTCGCCGTGTTAGCCAGGATGGTCTCGATCTCCTGACCTTGTTGATCCGCCCGTCTCGGCCTCCCCAAAGTGCTGGGATTACAGCGTTGAGCCACTGCGCCCGGCCCGACAATTTTTTTTTTATTTTGTAGAGACGGGATCTCACTATGTCACCCAGGCTGGTCTTGCAATCCTGGCCTCAACTGATCCTACCTCAGCCTCCTGAAGCACTGGGATTACAGGCATGAGCCACTGCACCCAGCCTGAAAATTAACCTCTGTCTTTGCGTGCACGGTTGAGCCCTTCAGAAATCTGAGCATGGTGGTATGGCCGGGCCCAGTGGCTCAGTCCTGCAATCCTAGCAGTTTGGGAGGCCAGGCGGGGCGGATTACCTGAGGTCAAGGGGTTCAAGACTAGCCTGGCCAACATGGTGAAATCCCGTCTCTACTAAAAATACAAAAATTAGCCAGGCGTGGAGGCACATGCCTGTAGTCCCAGCTACTCCAGGCTGAGGCAGGAGAATCACTTGAACCCAGGAGCAGAGGTTGCAGTGAGCCAAGATCATGCCACTATACTCCAGCCTGGGCAACAGAGCAAGACTCCATCTCAAAAAAAAAGGAAATCTAGGCTGGGTACGGTGGCTCACGCCTGTAATCCCAGCACTTTGGGAGGCCCAGGCAGTCAGATCATGAGGTCAGGAGATCGAGACCATCCTGGCAACACGGTAAAACCCCGTCTCTACTAAAAATACAAAATATGGTGGCACATGCCTGTAATCCCAGCTGCTCGGGAGGCTGAGGCACGAGAATCGCTTGAACCCGGGAGGCGGAGGTTGCAGTGAGCCAAGATCGTGCCACTGCTCTCCAGCCTGGGTGACAGAGCAAGACTCCGTCAGAAAGAGAGAAAGAGAGAGAAGGAAAGGGAGGGAAGGAAAGGAGGGAAGACATCTAGGTCTGCACAACAGACTGCCAGGTGAACGGGTGTGGGCATTTCATCTCAATACTGCCCGGTTTCCCCCTTGGAATGCTTACCTGGCAGGAGTCACTTTGCCTTCCAGGAAGCCAGCGCAGATCATGCGGTCTGTGAGGGAGAAGTTGTAGAGCACGCTACAGGTCTTCTGGTCTATGATGCCACGGACGCCTTCTGCAGGAGCTCGGGCTTGGTGGCTACCAGGGAAAGAGCCCAGAAAGGCCACTTGCAGAGTGATCATCAGAGCAGCTCCAGTTCGGGTCCGATAACAGTGCCGAGATGCAGCATCCCCACCCCACAGATGAAGAAACCAGGGCTCACAGAGTTGCAGGAATCACACAAAGCCACAGAGTGAGAAGGAGGTGGGCCTCGGATTCCTCGCTCAGAGCGCAAATGTCTCCCCACTGTCCCATGGGGCTGCTGCCCTAGCACCTGGGTAATGTGCAGGAGGCATTCTGAGGTCAAGGGAAGCATTAACTGTTGGGGTGGGACGTTTGCTTTTTTTTTTGAGACGGAGTTTCACTCTTTTTGCCCAGGCTGGAGTGCAATGGCGTGATCTCAGCTCACCGCAACCTCCGCCTCCCGGGTTCAAGTGATTCTCCTGCCTCAGTCTCCCCGAGTAGCTGGGATTACAGGTGCGCCACCACACCGGGCTAATTTTTTTATTTTTAGTAGGGATGGGCTTCACCATGTTCGGCAGGCTGGTCTCGAACTCCTGGCCTCAAGTGATCTGCCATCTCGGCCTCCCAAAATGCTGGGATTATAGGCGTGAGCCACCGCACCAGCCAATTTTTGTATTTTTTTAGTAGAGACGGGGTTTCGCCTGTTGGCCAGGCTGGTCTTAAACTTCTGACTGCAAGAGATCCACTGGCTGAATCCTCCCGAGTGCTGGGATTACAGGTGTGGCCACGGCATGTGGCTGCCAGCAAACATTTTTCTATAAATGGCCAGAGAATTTAAATATTTTTGGCTTTAAAGGCCAGTCTCTGTCACAAGTATTTTTTTTTTTTTTGAGACGGAGTCTCGCTCTGTCGCCCAGGCTGCAGTGCAGTGGCGCAATCACAGCTCACTGCAAGCTCCGCTCCCGGGTTCATGCCATTCTCCTGCCTCAGCCTCCGAGTAGCTGGGACTACAGGCACCCGCACCATGCCGGAAATTTTTTTTTTTGTATTTTTAGTAGAGACGGGGTTTCACCGTGGTCTCGATCTCCTGACCTCGTGATCCACCGCCTCAGCCTCCAAAGTGCTGGATTACAGGCGTGAGCCACCGGCCCAGCCTCTGTCACAAGTATTTACCTCTGTTGCTATTGCGGGAAAGCAGCCATAGACAGTCTGTTGATGTGAGAACGTGGCCTTGTTCCAATAAAACTTTATTTATACAAACAGGCAACGGCCAGATTTTGCCCCCAGATGGAATGGGGAGGTGAGTGGTGTGTAGGCAGTGGGACTAAAGACAACGGATCAGCCACAGAGGTCCTGTGCCGTGGAATTGGTTTAAGGTCCAGGTAAGAGATGCCATCCTGTCCTTCCCAGGCCAGGCCCTGGAGAATAAATCCACCATTCCCCTCGATCGGGGCAGGACTCACCATTTCTTCCTGCATATTTCCCCATCGGAGATCATGCACTTCCGGCCCACAGGGAACTTCTGGATGGCCAGGGGCAGGCAGACAGGCTGGATGTATTTGTTGAAGGCCAGGGGGCTGGCCAGCTCCAGGACAGCCAGGTCAAAGTCCAGGATGCCAGGGTTGTAGAGGGGGTGTAGCACCACCCGCCGCAGCCCTATCTTCACCGGGCTCCCGCCCAGGCCAGGAGGGACGCAGTGCCCAGGTGGCCCGAACCTGCTCCACCTTTGTGCTGTGGAGACAGGCCCTCAGACGTGCCCGCCCTCCAGCACATGCCCGCTTCTTGGGGGACGGACAGGGCTGATGCACCCCCCCAGGAAGCTGCACGGGGCTGCCTGAGCCCCAGGACATTCCTCTGACCCTCGGCTCCAGGGAGGACCAGGGAAGAGGGGCTGCCGGGCTCCTCCTGAAAGGATCCCGAGTTGGGGACCTTGGGCAAGTCAGGGGACCCTCAGCTTCATTTTCTTTTTTTTTTTTTTTTTTTTTTTTTGAGACGGAGTCTCGCTCTGTCGCCCAGGCTGGACTGCAGTGGCCGGATTCCGCTCACTGCAAGCTCCGCCTCCGGGTTTACGCCATTCTCCTGCCTCAGCCTCCCGAGTAGCTGGGACTACAGGCGCCCGCCACCTCGCCCGGCTAATTTTTTTGTATTTTTAGTAGAGACGGGGTTTCACCGTGTTAGCCAGGATGGTCTGGATCTCCTGACCTCGTGATCCGCCCGTCTCGGCCTCCCAAAGTGCTGGGATTACAGGCTTGAGCCACCGCGCCCGGCCAGCTTCATTTTCTACACCTGTGCCGGAGCCCTCCCAACCCCCTACAGCTTTATGAGTCTCTCTCTTTTTTTGTTGAGACAGGGTCTCGCTCTGCTGCCCCAGATGGAGTGCGGTGGCACCATCAGGCTCACTGCAGCCTCGACCTCCTGGGCTCAAGCAATTCTCCTGCCTCACCCTCCTGAGTAGCTGGGACCACAGATGTGGGCCACCATGCCTGGGAATCTCCAAGATAAATGCGGCCTGGGTAGCAAGCAATGGGGAAGGAACCCTCTCCCCCTCCCCTTTTGTTTGTCCTCAGAAGCCTTGGCACCGGCTCCCTCCTGTCAGCTGCCCTCAGGAGAGGAAGGGCTGCTCGCCGGGGTGGGGCGAGGGGTAGGGGGGGCACCATGAGGCAGCCCCAGCAGGATGGTTTCTGACAGGGAGGGGCTGGTGAGGAGGGGAAACCGGGCAGCCTTCCTGGAGGAGGCGAGCCTTACTGGTTGAAGCAGTGGGCGGCAGACAGCAGCCAGCGGTCCCCCACCACAGTCGCTCCACAGAAGTGCCGGGACCCTTCCTTCAGGCTGACCTGCCAGGGCACCTCCCCGGAGGCAGCTCCGAACCCGCCCACGACCCGGGTGGGCTTCTCCATTGCAGGCCTGGCCCCACATTCTGGAAGGGGGACACAAGACCAGGTCTGGGGATCTTGGCCTGCTCGGATGGGAGCATGGGGGTGGGTAGGGTCCCAGGACACCAACTGCAGCCAGGCCCTAAAGGTGCCGCAATCCCTCCCATTCCACAGATGAAGCCGTGGAGGCTTCGAGGGGTCCGTAGTTTGCCCAAGGTCTTGCAGCAAGTTCGTGGCCTAGCTTGGGGGACGGAAGTTAACAAAGCAACAGCAGCAGCCCAGTCAGCCTGAGGACCCCCCGCCACAGACCCGCAGCCCACAGAGCCAGGTTTATGGGCTCCTTGCAAAGACAGGGCTGCACTCCAGGAGACCCATGGGGCGGCTCAGAAAAGGAAGGGGTACGATTGCTATGGGGTTTCGGAACAGAGTATGGGGTGTAGGTGAACTGAATGAAGCATGGCGGGCGCGGTGGCTCACACCTGTAATCCCAGCACTTTGGGAGGCCAAGGCGGGCAGATCACCTGAGGTCAGGAATTCGAGACCGGCCTGGCCAACATGGCAAAACCCTGACTCTACTAAAAATACAAAAATTAGCCGAGCATAGTGATGCACGCCTGTAATCCCAGCTATTCAGGGGGCTGAGGCAGGAGAATCACTTGAACCGGGAGGTGGAGGTTGCAGTGAGCCAAGATCGCACCACTGCACTCCAGCCTGGGCGACAAGAGTAAAACTCTGTCTCATAAAAAAAAAAAAAAAATATATATATATATATATATATGAAAGCAACTAACAGGTTTTGGAAACAGATATAGTCCTACAAGTTTTTTCTTTTCTTTTTCTTTTCTTTTTTTTGAGATGGAGTTCTGCTCTTATCACCCGGGCTGGAGTGCAGTGGCGCCATGTCAGCTCACTGCAACCTCCACTTCCTGGGTTCAAGCGATTCTCCTGCCTCAGCCTACGAGTAGATGGATTACAGGTGCCCTCCACCACGCCCAGCTAATTTTTAGTAGAGACTAAAATTAGTAGGGTTTCGCCATGTTGGCCAGGCTGGTCTTGAACTCCTGACCTCAAGCGATCCTCCGCCTCAGCCTCCCAAAGTGCTGCAATGACAGGCATGAGCCACCGCGCCCGGCCAATCCTACAAGTTGTCTGGGTACAAGCTATTTGAATATACAATAGGAAGTATTCCAGGCCGGGCGAGGTGGCTCATGCCTGTCATCCCAGCATTTTGGGAGGCTGAGGTGGGCGGATCGTGAAGTCAGGACTTCGAGACCAGCCTGACCGACATGAGGAAACCCCGTCTCTACTAAAAATACAAAAATTAGCTGGGTGTGGTGGCAGACGCCTATAATCCCAGCTACTCGGGAGGCTGAGGCAGGAGAATCGCTTGAACCCAGGAGGCGGAGGTTGCAATGAGCCAAGATCATGCCACTGCACTCCAGCCTGGGTGACAGAGCGAGACTCTGTCTCAAAAAAAAAAAAAAAAGTATTCCATTGATAGATCGCCATACTTAGCAAGACATGGGCAAGACCTATGGACAGACAGATACCGTGAGGGTACACGCAACAGAAGATGGGAATAAATGGATACATGTGACCTTTCCTCGAACAGGAAGACCCAAAATTATGAAAATACTATGACGATATCAATTCTCCCTAAATCAAGATAGGCGCGTACATCATCTTCTACCTTTCTGCCCCGAAAATACCTTGTAGCTTAGGAACGGTGACCCAGTCAAGAGGCACAGTGCTGGGGGCCTGTGTGGATTTGGTGGGGGTGTTGACCACAGGGCTCTCAGGACCGGTGGGCCAGGCCGTGCTGAGGGCGGCGGGGGCAGGAGCCACCGTGGGGGCCGGAGGCACGCTGGCTCTGGTGGTGGCCTCCAGGATCCAGTCACGTAGCTTGGTGACTCGGGCATAGACCCCCGGACGCCGGGCTTCTGCACAGCCAATTCCCCAGCTCACGATGCCGGCCAGAAAGAACCGGCCAGGGGGCTCCTCGCAGACCAGGGGTCCTCCTGAGTCGCCCTAAGAAACCAAAACACGCCCTCAGGATGGGTCGGCAGCAGCCAGTCCAAATGCCAGGGCTGCGAGGCCCAAGAAGGAGCTCTGAGCTGGGACTGCCAGGACCTCTGTCCACCTGAGCTCACAGAGCCCTTGTGGGCTGATCATTCACATCTCAGAACCTGTTTTCCTCTTCTGTGGAGGAAGAAAACAACAACAACCACCCAAGACAGTTGGACTATAGGATCTCCAAGATGTCTTTCAGTCCTACATCTGGAAGGCTAAAACATGACCCAAATAAGTAACATCCCCTCCTCTTCTTAACCCAGTAGATCTTTGATAATGTCACCACTTGCTTAGGCTGACAGTATGACTGCCATGCGGGTGCCTCCAGATATCTCACTGGTAGCTGCAGCATTGCTTCATCTGCTCTCACTCATCTGGCCTCACCATTTTTTACCTTCCCATATCCAGCTCACCCTGACTTTCACATTCTGTGTGTGTTTTTTTTTTTGTTTCTGAGACAGAGTTTTGCTCTGTCGCCCAGGCTGGAGTGCAGTGGCGCGATCTCAGCTCACTGCAACCTCCGCCTCCCAGGTTCAAGTGATTCTCCTGCCTCAGCCTCCCAAGTAGCTGGGATTACAGGCACCTGCCACCAGGCCCGGCTGATTTTTTGTATTTTTAGTAGAGACGGGGTTTCACCATGTTGGCCAGGATGGTCTTGAACTCCTGACCTCAAGTGATCTGCCCACCTTGGCCCCCCAAAGTGCTGGGATTACAGGTGAGCCACCGGGCCCGGCCGACTCTTACATTCTTAAAGACGAGCCCTCTCTTACTAGTTCCTAGCATTTTCTCCAGCTTCTGGTTTCAATATGGGAATCTAAGCACGTGTAGCAGTCTCTCCCTATCTTTTCCTCACCCACCAGCCCTTAGAAACAAGAGCAAAGGTACGCACAAAAAAGACAGGAATCCACAACCATGCTAAAAAATTAGGCAGGGGAGATCCTGGTGGTGGACTGAAGCCATGAAAAATCACGAGAGGCTGACAGAGGGAAGCGGCAGCCCAGCCCGTGTGTGGAAGCTCAAGACAAAAGAGAAAGCTTTCTCAAGAGGACCTGGGTTGGTTGAGGTAGAAAAGGGATTTGGGCAACCACAAAGGATCAATGAGACCAGGAGGTCTTTGGTCCCTTGAAAGGAGACAGAGAATCCAAGAACACAAGGTGTTAATGTCCCCCACCAAGAGAACGTGAATAGCAAATATGAGATCACATCAAGAATTTAGTGACATTTTTAAATTTTCAATTTCTTTTTTTTAAGATGGGGTCTCACTCTGTCACTCAGGCTGGAGCGCAGTGCTGTGATCTTGGCTCACTGTAGCCTCCACCTCCCAGGCTCAAATAATCCTCCCACCTCAGCCTCTCAAGTAGCTGGGACTACAAGCATGCACCACCAAACCCGGCTAATTTTTGTTTTTGTTTTTGTAGAGACAGACTTTTGCTATGTTGCCCTGACTGGTTTCAAACTCCGGGCCTCAAGAGACCTGGGTGCTTCAACCTCCCAAAGTACTGGGATTACAGATGTGAGCCACTGCACCCGGCCTTTCATTCTTAAGCACCATTTGAGGGATTCCAATCTCCATGAAATAAAGACACTCAGTTACAACAGAAAAACTTATGTTTGCCTGAAATACAGTTAACCACAAATACAGAATATAGAAGAACTGTAACTGGGATTAAATTACGATCCTCAGAGAAAAAGAAGAAATGGTGTCCGTGAAACAAGAACAGAACACTGCAAAACGAGACCAAGTGGGTGAAAGAAGAAATAGCAATGAGATACATTGAAAACAAAAATTGTAATTGTCGGCTGGGCATGGTGACTCACACCTCTAATCCCAGCACTTTAGGAGGACGAGGTGGGCGGATCACCTGAAGCCAGGATTTGGAGAACAGCCTGGCCAACATGGCGAAACCCTGTCTTTACTAAAAATATAAAAATTAGGGGGGAGGGATTGCATTGGGACTTATACCTGATGTAAATGATGAATTGATGGGTGCTGACGAGTTGATGGTTGCAGCACACCAACATGGCACAAGTATACATATGTAACAAACCTGCACGTTATGCACATGTACCCTAGAACTTAAAGTATAATTAAAAAAAAAAAAAGAATATTTGCATCATAGTATTATGCTTAGAATACTATATGTAACACTATATGTAAACACTCAACACATATTAGCAATAATTAATATTATTATTATTCTCTTGTTTCTGTTGATCTCTCAAATATTAAATTATTTTAGTTTTACCACAGGAATAAACTTGAGGATAAAAGTGAAAAAATATATATATATAAAAATTAGCCAGGTGTGGTGGTGGGCACCTGTGATCCCAGCTATTTGGGAGGCTGAGGCATGAGAATCTCTTGAACCTGGGAGGCAGAGGTTGCAGTGAGCCAAGATGGTGCCACTGCACTCCAGCCTGGGTGACAGAGCAAGACACTGTCTTAATTAACTAAAAATACAAAAATTAGCTGGGTGTGGTGGTGCACACCTATAATCACAGCTACTCTGGAGGCTGAGGCAGGAGACTCGCTTGAACCTGGGAGGCAGAAGTTGCAGTGAGCTGAGATCATGCCACTGCACTACAGCCTGGGCGACAGAGCAAGACTCCATCTAAAAAGAAAAAGAAAAAAAAAGAAGGTTCCAGGTAAACAGCAGAGGCAGCTTTGAGTGACCCAATTTTCTTTTCTTTTTTTTTTTTTTTTTTTTATGAGACAGAGTCTCGCTTTGTCACCCAGGCTGAAGTGCAATGTCGCGATCTCAGCTCACTGCAACCTCCGGCTCCCAGTTCAAATGATTCTCCTGCCTCAGCCTCCCGAGTAGCTGGGATTACAGGCACCCGCCACCATGCCCGGCTAATTTTTGTATTTTTAGTAGAGACAGGGTTTCACCATGTTGCTCAGGCTGGTCTCAAACTCCTGACCTCAAGTGATTCACCCGCCTTGGCCTCCCATAGTGCTGGGATTACAGGCATGAGCCACAGCGCCCAGCCCTGGAAAGTTCTTGAGTTGAGCCTGCAGGTCGCTCTTGGCCCAACTGACCACCCAGGGGCAAGAGTCCGCGGGGTTCCCGTAGACCAACCTTTCCCGTACAGACGGAGAGAATCTGATGCCCAGGGTGTGTGCTGGCATCATTCATACAAGAGGTGTTTCTTGGGTGGTACGTGGTATCGGGCCTGGTGCTGGGAACAGCATCTGTGTGCCTACACAAGTCCCGGTTCAGAGGGTAGCTGGGGGGATTTACACAGGGACCCCATCGTAGCCAGGGAGATTACATAGGGACCCCAGCCTCTGTGGCACGCACCTGGGGCCTACTGGGAGGGAGCAGGGAGCCATGGAGGGTAGAGGAGGAAGTGCAGTCAGGTTAGAGCTTCTGGAAGATCCTCTAAGCAGCACCTGCCTCTCTCAGTCCCAACTGCTTTAAAATTCCTCAAGAACGGACATCCAGATATCTTTGAATTGCGCAGCATTTGAACACGCTCCTGTCTATTTCTGTGTTTTTCTGGGGTCTGGGGCATCGGGGGCTCACCTGGCAGGAGTCCACCTTCCCGTCCAGGTAGCCAGCACACAACATCCTGTCAGTGAGTGAGTGGCCGTACAGGCTGGCACACAGTGCCTGGTCCAGCAGTTCCACAGTGGCTTTCTGCAGCACCTCTGGCTTGACCACTGGCCCGATGGGGAGAGAAAAGCAGGGTGAGAGTGCCGGAGCCCTGGCAGCCACTTTGAGCTGGGAGGCTGAAGGACATCTCCTCTCCGAGCCTCCCTCAGTTTCCCCAGCTGCAAGCGTGGCCGCCTACAACACCTGGCTCTGAAACTGCAAAAGGTAAACACCCCACCTGGTAACACTCTGCCTGGACAAGGAAGAGGCATCAGACATAACACCCCCAGCCCGAGATCCTCATCTCCCCTCCACAAGCTCCGCCCTCAGCATTCCCCATCTCAGGGATCTCAGGGTCTCCTTCCAGATCCACAGTCCTCAAATTCCAAGTCGGCCTCAAGTCAGCCCCCAAATACACCCAGAATCAGCCCCTGTCTCACGCCCATCCTTGCCCAGGTCATTACAGCGGCTCCTCACTCACTTCTGTCACTCTGGTCCCACCCAACTGAAATCCATTCCCAACCCTGCAGCCAGCGCCACTCTTGCTAAACATTAAATCAGTCCACATCAACTCCAGCCCCAGGGCTGCCTTGTTGTCCTCCCACCCCAGGGCCTTTGCACATGCTGTTCCTGCTGCCCAAAATGCTTGTCCCTGCAGAATCTGTCTGACTTCCTCCTTCATCTCCTCTCTCCAGGAGGCATCTCTTGACCTCCCTATTTAAAGCTGCAGCCCCCACCCCTGCCTTATTTTTCTCCACTGGATCCACTTCCCTCTGTCAGTCATCTTGTGACTGACTGACCACCCCTGAAACTACACCACACAATGCAGTAGCCACTGGCCACGTGTGGCTATTTAGATGTGCATTTCAGTACATTAAGATCAAATTTTTTGGCTGGGTGAGGTAGCTCACACCTGTAATCCCAGCACTTTGGGAAGATGAGGTGGGAGGATCATGAGGTCAGGAGATCGAGACCAACCTGGCCAACATGGTGAAATCTCGTCTCTACTAAAAATACAAAAAAAAAAAGTTGCTGGGTGTGGTGGTGCATGCCTGTAGTCCTAGCTACTCAGGAGGCTGAGGCAGGAGAATCGCCTGAACCCGGAGGTGGAGGCTGCAGTAAGCACAGTTCGTACCACTGCACTCCAGCCTGGGCAACAAGAGTGAAACTCCATCTCAAAAAAAAAAAAAAATCGCAGTAGCATTGATGATGGGTTATAAATATATCTTAGCAAGCAGTGGAATTCATGAATACAGAATCAGAGAATAATGCAGACCCACTGTGTTTTTCTGCATTATTATTATTATTTTATTATTATTATTATTTTTTGAGACAGAGTCTCCCACTGTCACCTAGGCTGGAGTCCAGTGGCGCAATCTTGGCTCACTGCAACCTCTGCTTCCCGGGTTCAAGCAATTCTCAGCCTCCTGAGTAGCTGGAATTACAGGCGCTCACCACCATGCCTGGCTTTTTTTTTTTTTTTTTTTTTTTTTTTTGAGACAGAGTCTCGCTCTGTCACCCAGGCTGGAGTGCAGTAGCGCAATCTCGGCTCACTGCAAGCTCCGCCTCCCGGGTTTACGCCATTCTTCTGCCTCAGTCTCCCGTGTAGCTGGGACTACAGGTGCCCGCCACCACACCCGGCTAATTTTTTGTGTTTTTTAGTAGAGATGGGGTTTCACCATGTTGGCCAGGATGGTCTCGATCTCCTGACCTCGTGATCCGCCTGTCTCGGCCTCCCAAAGTGCTGGGACTACAGGCGTGAGCCACCACGCCCGGCCCAAGGCTAATTTTTTTTGTTGTTGTAGTTGTATTTTTTAGTACAGACGGGGTTTCACTACGTTGGCCATGATGGTCTCGATCTCCTGACCTCATGATCCACCCACCTCGGCCTCCCAAAGTGCTGGGATTACAGGCGTGAGCCACCACACCCGGCCCTTTTCTGCGTTATTTGCCCACCCGCCTGCCTGAGTTCACTTGCAGGCCGAGGAAGATGCGTACGGAAATCCTCCTTGAGGTAGCCCCAGCCTGAGATCAGGCACTTCTTGCTGGGTGGGAAGATGTGTGTGGCAGCCGGGAGGCACACGGGCTGGATGTGCAGGCCGAAAGGCAGAGGGCTGGTCAGCTCCAGCACTGCCACGTCGAAGTCGGCCGTGTCTGCGTTGTACAGGGGGTGCTTGATGATCTGGGCCACCCGGGCCCGCACGGTGCTGGCCTCCGAGCCACTGAGGTAGGTCGTACCCACGTAGGCCACCCACTCCGTCGGTCTTGGAATCTGCAGGAGCAAACCCCAGGTCAGAGGCCACCAAGAGTCAGAGCCGACAGGGGAGGCAGATGGGACACTCACCTTGGGTGCAAAATTTAAGAAGCATCCCCCCTAAATTAATATTTATTAATAGTATTTATAAAAATTAGGCCGGGCACAGTGGCTCATGCCTGTAATCCCAGCACTTTGGGAGGCCGAGACGGGCAGATCACGAGGTCAGGAGATCCAGACCATCCTGGCTAACACAGTGAAACCCCATCTCTACTAAAAAATACAAAAAATTAGCCGGGCGCGGTTGTGGGCGCCTGTAGTCCCAGCTACTCGGGAGGCTGAGGCAGGAGAATGGCGTGAACCCGGGAGGCGGAGCTTGCAGTGAGCCGAGATCGCGCCACTGCACTCCAGCCTGGGCGACAGAGCGAGACTCTGTCTCAAAAAAAATAATAATAATAATAATAATATCACAACACAACATAATATTTTAAAAAATCAAAGTGAACGCAAAAAATGTCCACAATGAGCAAAACATCAACAAAATGTCATTAGTTGCTGAGGAATGCCAAGTCAAAACCACAGGGAGATGCTGCTTCACGAAACCCACTGGGATGGCTACTCTCAAAAGAACAGCAAGTGGAGGATGTGGAGAAATTGCAACCCTTGTGCACCGTTGGTGGGAATGTGAAATGGTAGAGTCAGGCTGGGCACGCCTATAATCCCAGCACGTTGGGAGGCCAAGGCAGGTGGATCACCTGAGGTCAGGAGTTTGAGACCAGCCTGGCCAACGTCGCAAAAACCCATCTCTACTAATTATACAAAAAAAAAAAAAAAAAAATTAGCCGGGCATGGTGGCACACATCTGTAGTTCCAGCTACTTGGGAGGCTGAGGCAAGAGAATCGCTTTATCCCATCCCAGGAGGTGGAGGTTGCAATGAGCTGAGATCACACCACTGCACTCCAGCCAGGGCAACAGACTGAGACTCTGTCTCAAAAGAAAAAATAAAATAAAGAGGCTGGGCACAATGGCTCACGCCTGTAATCCCAGCAGTTTGGGAGGCCGAGGTGGGTGAATCACGAGGTCAGGAGATCAAGATCATCCTGGCCAAAACAGTGAAACCCCATCTCTACTAAAAATACAAAAATTAGCCGGGCATGGTGGTGGGCGCCTGTAGTCCAGCTACTCGGGAGGCTGAGGCAGGAGAATGGTGTGAACCCAGGAGGCGGAGCTTGCAGTGAGCTGAGATCACGCCACTGCACTCCAGTCTGGGTGACAGAGTAAGACTCCGTCTCAAAAAATAATAATAATAAATAAAAAGAATGCACTCAGATTTGACAACGACAAAAGCAAGAAAGAAAGGGAAAGAAAAAATTACTTCCAAGGGCTCTAAGGAAATGCGAAGTGACACCCCCAGTGCTTGAGGGAAGGCAGGAGAAATACAGAGGGTTTGGGTTTGGTGCTTCGGGATGGAGGCTTACTCATTGAAGCAGTGAGCGGCAGATACCAGCCACCTGGCACTGATGATGGTGGCCCCACAGAAGTGCTCCTTGTTCTCTCGAAGGCTGGCTTGCCATGGAAACTCCCCTGGGGATGCTTCCACACCGCCCACGATCCTGCCGGCCATCCTCCAGGCAGGCTGCAAGCCACACTCTGCAAGACAGCAGGTCACCAGCCAGGACCCCACGAAGGTAGGACCTCACCCTGAACTCCCAGAACCTTCATCTCTGAGTCTCTTGTCTACAGTCCCTAGGTTCAAAGAGATGCTTGGGGGCCCCTCCTTGGCTTCCCTGACTCTTTTGGGGTCTCCTCATCCCTCCCTCTTCAGTTCCTCTGGCTGCCCCATCCTGGCACGTAGGTCAAGCATCCAAGGTCACGTGCACCAGTGAGTGACAGAGAAAGGTCTCTATCTTAGCTGTGGGGAAGGGGCGATGACCGCACGTACATGTTTGTATATGATATTGTGTCTCTGTGCTTATTTAGTCTACTTTTATGTCCTTCAGCAAAATTTTGTAATTCTATAATTATATATAATAATTATCGTCACAGGCATGGCACATTTGTAAGTTTAGTCTTTCATATTTCATTTGTTGTCGCTATTGATCATGAAAGGGATTTTTTCCTTTGTATCTTCTAACCCATTATTACTGTATAAAGCAAAATCACAGCTTTTTTTTTTTTTTTAGATGGAGTTTTGCTCTGTACACCAGGCTGGAGTGCAATGGCATGATCTTGGCTCACTGCAATCTCCACCTCCCAGGTTCAAGGGATTCTCCTGCCTCAGCCTCCTGAGTAGCTGGGATTACAGGCACCTGCCACCATGCCTGGCTAATTTTTATATTTCTTGGTAGAGACGGGGTTTAGCCATGTGGGCCAGGCTGGTTTCAAACTCCTGACCTCAAGTGATCCACCCACCTTGGTCTCCCAAAGTGCTGGGATTACAGGCATGAGCCACCACACCTAGCCTTTATTATTATTATTATTATTATTATTATTATATTATTATTATTATTTTGAGACGGACTCTCGTTCTGTCACCCAGGCTGGAGTACAGTGGCGTAATCTCGGCTCACTGCAAGCTCGGCCTCCTGGGTTCACGCCATTCTCCTGCCTCGGCCTCCCAAGTAGCTGGGACTACAGGCACACACCACCACGCCTGTAATTTTTGTTGTAGTTTTTAGTAGAGACAGGGTTTCACCATGTTAGCTAGGATGGTCTCGATCTCCTGACCTTGTGATCCACCCACCTCGGCCTCCCAAAGAGCTGGGATCACAGGCATGAGCTGCCGTGCCTGGCCGGCCTTTATTTTGTATAGCTTTTTAGTCAATTTCTTGATTCATTTTATTTTATTCTTTCAGCTTCTCTCCTTCTGTTTGGATATTGATTTATTTTAGATAGACAATGATTTCAAATGAATTAAGCTTTTCCTCTTCCTTCCCAATACTTAAACTGCTGTCCCTACACCTTATTGCATGGGCTAGCATTGCTAGAAAAATGTTGGCTACTCTTCCAGCATTTTATTTTATTTATTTTTGAGACAGGGTCTCACTCTGTTATCCAGGCTGGACAGTGCAGTAGCGCAATCATAGCTTATCGCAGCCTCAATCTCCTGGGCTCAAGCGATCCTTCCACCTCAGCCTCCTGAGTTGCTGGGACCACAGGCACACACACCACACTGGCTAATTTTTTTTTTTTTTAAGTAGAGATGGGGGTCTCACTATGTTGTCCAAGCTGGTCTCAAACTCTTGGCCTCAAGTGATCCTCCTGCCTTGGCCTCCCAAAGTGCTGGAATTACAGGTGTGAGCCACCATGCCCAGCTAATCTCTTCCAGCATTTTAACTGTCTCTTTCCATTGCTCAAATCCCTGTGGCCACATCCCACTACTTACAGGACAGAGCTCCAATTCCTGGTATTCAAGACTTCCCAGGCTTTGGCCAGAACCTCTGTTTTCGGCCTGATATCTTCTCCCTCCTCCCCCCAGGCTTCTCCCCATCACACACCTGCGCTTTCCTTTTCTCTGCTGTTTGCTCACATTTCTCTCCATACCATGGGTGCCCCTTTCTGTTCTCTGCCCAGCCCCCGTAAATGCCAGGCCTGTGTGCCGAGTGACATAAGCACAGTGACCAGAGACCAGAGCCAGCAGCTGACCCTGGAAAAGGAAAAGGGCCCAGAGACCAGGCCGGACAGGCAGACTGACCACAGTGCACCTCATCGGACCCATCGGAGCAGTCCTCCTGGTCGTCACACTCCGGGTTCACCTTGGTCACACACTGGCTGTTCTGGCAGGAAAAGGAGTTCCCTGGACAGTGGCCTGAGAACAAAAAAGAATGAACTTTCTGACCTCATGCTGCATCTCCTGGTTGCAGTAAGGCACCACTCTACACTTAGTACCCCCAGGGTATGGAAACACGGAAACTCACTCTCTCCTTTTTTTTCCTTTTCTTTTGTTTTTGTTTTTGTTTTTGAGATAGGTCTAGCTCTGTCACCCAAGCTGGAGTGCAGTGGTGCGATCACAGCTCACTGCAGCCTGTAACTCCAGGTTCAAGCAATCCTCCCGCCTTAGCCTCCTGAGTAGTTGGGACCACAGGTGCATGCCACCAGGCCAGTCTATTTATTTTATTTTATTTTATTTATTATTTTTTGAGATGTAGTTTCACTCTGTCACCCAGGCTGGAGTGCAGTGGCGCGATCTCAGTTCACCGCAGCCTCTATCTCCTGGGTTCAAGCGATCCTCCTTCCTCAGCCTCCCAAGTAGCTGAGAGTACAGGCAATATGCCACTATGCCCAGCTAATTTTTATTACTTTCTAAAAATAATTTTTAAAATTATTTTTGGCCTTTAATTTTTTTTTTTTTTTTTTGAGATGGAGTCTCGCTCTGTTGCCCAGGCTGGAGTGCAGTGGTGCAATCTTGGCTCACTGCAACCTCTGCCTCCCGGGTTCACGCCATTCTCCTGCCTCAGCCTCCCTAGTAGCTGGGACTACAGGTGCCCGCCACCACGCCCGGTTAATTTTTTTTTTTTGTATTTTTTAGTAGAGACGGGGTTTCACTGCATTAGCCAGGATGGTCTCGATCTCCTGACCTTGTGATCCGCCCACCTCGGCCTCCCAAAGTGCTGAGATTACAGGTGTGAGCCACCGCGCCCAGCCTTAATTACTATTTTTGTAGAGATAGGGTCTCGCTATGTTGCCCAGGCTGGTCTCAAACTCCTGGCCTCAAGTGATCCTCCTGCCTCAGCCTCCCAAAGTGCTGGGATGACAGGTATGAGCCGCTGTGCCCGGCCTTGTTCCAGAGATTCTTTCACTCCCTTGAAAGGAATCTTAGGAAACCTCTGTCAGTAACTGCAATCAGAGAAAAGGCCAGAGAGAAGAACATACCTGATTTTAAGTCTCTTTCTGCCATGGGTCCCTTATGTCTTCCTGCAACAAAACAGAGAAGATAGAAGCTCATTGAATAAGCGGTAAAACCCCCTGAACACGTCCTATTGGCCGGGCGCGGTGGCTCACGCCTGTCATCCCAGCACTTTGGGAGGCCGAGGCGGGCAGATCACTTGAGGTCAGGAGTTCAAGACCAGCCTGGCCAACAAGGTGAAACCCCGTCTCTACTAAAAATACAAAAATTAGCTGGGTGTGGTGCCGGACATCTGTAATCCCAGGTACTTGGGAGGCTGAGGCAGGAGAATCACTTGAACCCAGGAGGCAGAGGTTGCAGTGAGTTGATATCACGCCACTGCACTCCAGCCTGGGCGACAGAGCAAGACTCCATTAAAGAAAGAAAAGAAAAGAAAGGAAAGGAAGGGAGGGGAGGGAGGGAGGGAGGGGGGAGGGGAGGGGGAGGGGAGGGGGGAGGGGGAGGGGAGGGAGGGGAGGGGGAGGGGGAGGGGAGGGGGGGGGGGAGGGGAGGGGGAGGGGGAGGGGAGGGGGAGGGGGGAGGGGAAAACGTCCTATTGCAGACAGGTGGTGGAGTAAAGTAAGCAGCTGCCCTGTCCACCCCAGAGTCACTTAAATTCTACCTTCAGAGAGGATGAAATCCACTTCAACACCGATTCTCAGTCTCACTAGCCCCATGGAGAGCACTCACTAGCCACAGGGCTCCGGCAGCCACCAAACTGCACAGGGCCTGGAACCTCCCTATCGCCAAGGGAAGTTCTGTGAACACTGCAGCAGAGGTTATTAAGGCCTCAACCAGCATGTTACGGTTGGTGGGGAGGGAACCATAAATGTCCTGAAACGTCAAGGTCAAGGTGACTAATCTTTTTTTTTTTTTTTTTTTTTTTTTAAGACAGAGTCTCGCTCTGTCGCCCAGGCTGGAGTGCAGTGGTGCGATCTTGGCTCCCTGCAACCTCCGCCCCACCAGGTTCAAGCAATTCTCTTGCCTCAGACTCCCGAGTAGCTGGGATTACAAGCGCCTACCACTGTGCCTGGCTAATTTTTGTATTTTTAGTAGAGATGGGGTTTTACCGTCTTGGCCAGGCTAGTCTTGAACTCCTGACCTTGTGATCCACCCGCCTCGGCCTCCCAAAGTGCTGGGATTACAGGCGTGAGCCACCGTGCCCAGCAACAAATGTTCTGAACTTGCATCTGACTCTCCAGTCATGACCTGCTGCACTGTACAATATTTTAGTTTTTAAAACCACTGCACTCCAACCTGGGCAACAGAGTGAGATCCTGTCTCAAAAAAAGAAAAAAAGAAAAGAAAAGATTTACACTCTCTTTACAGAACAAGATGGCTGACCCCTGGTCTACACCATTAAGGCAAAGGCAATGTCAGTTTTTACGTTTGTTTGTTTGCTTTTGAGACGAAGTTTCACCCTTTTTTCCCAGGTTGGAGTGCAATGGCACAATCTCGGCTCACTGCAACCTCCACCTCCCAGGTTCAAGCGATTCTCCTGCCTCAGGAGAATTCCGTGTAGCTGGGATGACAGGTCCACGCCACCATGCTCAACTAATCTTTGTATTTTTAGTAGAGATGGGGTTTCACCATATTGGCCAGTCTGGTCTCAACTCCTGACCTCAAGTGACCCGCCCGCCTTGGCTTCCCAAAGTGCTGGGATTACAGGCGTGAGCCACCGCGCCTGGCTAGTTTGTTTTCTTTTTATGGGAAGGGGTGATTATCAAAATGTATCTTGCAACACCTGCCCCCCTCCAGCCTCCTTGTGATGGGGTTTCGGTCTCGGCTGCCCACTCACCTGTGAGCTCGGCCGACACGATTGTGCCATAGGCAGCCAGGGAGATACCGCGCTCTCGCAGCCTTGCCTGGATCCCTCTCTGCAATAGCTCCTCCTCCAGGCCCAGGCTCAGCGTCTGGAGGGGTCGCAGCAGAAAGCGCAACCGGAAATGTACGAGGACACTGGAGTTCCCATCCCTACAGGTATGGAGGAGAGGCCCTTGGAGAGGGAGGGACTCCTCCCTGCTGGAATCTTCTAGAATTTTCCAGACTTTCTGGAGTCCTCCAGAAACTCCCAGATGTCCACCAAGTTTCCGTCACCCAATGGAAGCTTCGACTCACCTGTAATTCAGCACCGTGCAACCCACGCAGCTTGCCTCTAACTCTGTCTTCTGAAAACTACTTACAAACTGCAATAGAAACAAGAACGGCAAATGTTGAGACCCACAGCATGGGCACCCTGGCACTGCAGCGGCCTGTTGCTGTTGCGGGGAGCTGGAGAAGGGGTTGGTTTCATGGGAAAGAGTTTCCTTTTATTTATTGTTTTAAATTTTAAAATTATTCACGCCTGTAATCCCAGCACTTTGGGAGGCCGAGGAGGGCAGATCACAAGGTCAGGAGTTTGACACCAGCCTGGCCAACATGGTGAAACTCCATCTCTACTAAAAATACAAAAAATTAGCCGGGCGAGGTGGCGGGCGCCTGTAGTCCCAGCTCCTCAGGAGGCTGAGGCAGGAGAATGGTGTGAACCCAGGAGGCGGAGCTTGCAGTGAGCCAAGATCAGGCCACTGCACTCCAGCCTGGGCAACAGAATAAGACTCCACCCCCCCCACAAAAAATTAAATTTTTATTTGTATGTATGTATGTATGTATGTATGTATGTATTTGAGATGGAGTCTTTCTCTGTTGCCCAGACTGGAGTACAGTAGCGCAATCTCCACTCACCGCAACGTCCGTCTCCCAGGTCCAAGCGATTCTACTGCCTCAGCCTCCCAAGTAGCTGGGATTACAGGTGCCTGCCACCATGCCTAGTTAATTTTTTGTATTTTTAGTAGAAATGGGGTTTCACTATGTTGGCCAGGCTGGTCTCGAAGTCCTGACCTCATGATCCGCCTGCCTCGGCCTCCCACAGTGCTGGAATTACAGTTGTAAGCCACCACACCCAGACTTAAGTTTTATTTTTAATTTTTTTATTGTTGTTATTATTATTTTGAGACAGAGTCTTGCTCTGCCGCCTGGGGTGGAGTGCAATGGCACAATCTCGGCTCATTGCAACTTCTGTCTCCCAGATTCAAGCAATTCTCCTGCCTCAGCCTCCCAAGTAGCTGGGATTACAGGCACACACCACCATGCCCAGCTAATTTTTTGTGTTTTTTAGTAGAGACAGGGTTTCACTATGTTGGCCAGGCTGATCTTGAACTCCTGACCTCGTGATCCACCCACCTCGGCCTCCCAAATTGCTGGGGTTACAGGCATGAGCCACCGCGCCCAGCCTGTTTTTTTTTTTTATTTATTATTTTTTGAGATGGAGTCTCGCTCTGTCACCCAGGCTGGAGTGCAATGGCACAATCTTGGCTCACTGCAACTTCCACCTCCTGGGCTCAAGCAATCCTCCCACCTCAGCCTCCCGAGTAGCTGGGATTACAGGCACACACCACCACACCTGGCTAATTTTTGTGTTTTGAGTAATGATGGGATTTTGCCATGTTGCTCAGGCTGGTACCGAACTCCTGACCTCAGGTGATGCACCCGCCTCGGCCTCCCAAAGTGCTGGGATTACAAATGTGAGGCACCCACCATGCCTGCCTGGAGTGCTCTTTTTAATACACGATTGCTGATGTGGCCACACGTCTGTTTCTCTTAGAATAAAATGGAAAACTTTTTTTTTTTTCCATTGAGATATAATTTGCTATGTCCTGTGTCTGAGCCTGGCTCCTTTTCCTGGCTGAGTCATATTCCAGTGTGTGAATGGTCACGCTGTTTCCCCGTTCATCCGTTCATGATATCTGAGTTTCCACCATTACCTGTTATGAGCCGTGCTGCTATGAACATCCACACACGAGTTTTCATGTGGACATACATTTTTTGTTTGGTTTGGGTTTTTTGAGACGGAGTCTCACTCTGTCACCCAGGTGGGAGTGCAGTGGTGCGATCTCGGCTCATGGCAATCTCCGCCTCCCAGGTTCAAGCAATTCTCCTGCCTCAGCCTCCCGAGTAGCTGGGATTACAGGCGTGCGCCACCACGCCTGGCTAATTTTTTATTTTTAGTAGAGATGGGGTTTCTCCCTGTTGGCCAGGCTGGTCTCAAATTCCTGCCCTCAGGTGATCCGCCTGCCTCGGCCTCCGAAAGTGCTGGGATGACAGGCATGAGCCACCACGCCCGGCGTGCATCACCATTATTTTTTCCCTTTTCCTGCTTTCCAGGAATGCCTCATTTTACGTTCCTCCAGGCTGGGTGCAGTGGCTCACACCTGTCATCCCAGCACTTTGGGAGGCCAAGGAAGGTGAATCACTTGAGGTCAAGAGTTCAAGACAAGCCTGGCCAATATGGTGAAACCCCATCTCTAGTAAAAATACAAAATTAGCTAGGTTTGGTGGTGGGTGCCTGTAACCCTGGCTACTGAGGAGGCTGAGACAGGAGAATCGCTTGAACCCGGGAGGCGGAGGTGGCAGTGAACCAAGGTCGCACCACTGCACTTCAGCCTGGGCGACAGAGCGAGAGACTGTCTCAAAAAAATAAAATAAAATAAAATACATTCCCCCAGCTATGCATGAGGGCTGTGATTCCCCTTTAGAATAAAATATAAAACTCTAAATGTGGAGGGCCGGGCACGGTAGCTCACGCCTGTAATCCCAGCACTTTGGGAGGCCATGGTGGGAGGATCATTTGAGGTCAGGAGTTCCAAACCATCCTGGCCAACATGATGAAACCCCGTCTCTACTAAAAATACAAAAATCAGCTGGACGTGGTGGTGCGCACCTGTAATCCCAGCTACCTGGGAGGCTGAGGCAGGAGAATCACTTGAACCTGGGCAGCAGGGGTTACAGTGAGCAGAGGTCACTCCACTGTACTCCAACCTGGGCGACAGAGTGAGACTCCATCTCAAAAAAAAAAAAAACCTCTAAATGTGGCCTAAAATCAATCCTACGTGAGTCTGTCCTCAGTGGATACAGCTCTGTCTTGCAGGTATCTGCCTTGACCACCTGGCCTCGTCCTTTCCCCTCCCCCATGGCCTGGCCTCCCAGTCTCACAGCCTCCACCTCAGCCTCCTTGCCTCCGGCCTGCCTCCCTCCCACATGGAAAGCAGCTCCAGGTCAAAGCCCTGGCCATCCGCTTTTCCTCCCTGGCCCCCAAACACAGACCACCCTCACCAGTGCCTCCAGGGTGGGCGTCAGTGTGCGGTGATAGTCCGAGGCCTCCTGCCGCAAACTGCTGGCCCATCGGATTCCCCGCAGCTCGGCCGTGTGGTCCACGTGGACGCCCTGTGTAGAGAGGAAGGCTGGGGACAAGACCAGGGGCCGTGAGAGAGCCCACCTTTGGGGGCTCAGGCCTCCACTGAGCTGCCGCCCGGGACCCGCCCTGTCTCTGCCCACACACCCTGGTGGTCACTCCCGACTTGCAGTGGGGTGGCCAACGCCCCTGTGGCTGCCCTGAATAGGTACTCACAGGGCTGTCCCTCAACTCCCAAAAGCATTCTGGTTTGGAGCTGAATTCTACAGCCATCCCCCCGGAGGTTCCCAGGTACAGTACAAGGTGGGTGAGAGCCAGGTGAGCCCCAGACGCCCCCGCGTTTTCCTCGAAGGCAGGAAGAGGTCCTGCTTATGCCTGTCTCCCATGTAGTGCCTGGCCCAGGATCTGAGCTGACTTCAGGGAGTAACCGCTGGAATGGCATCAGGAGATGGTGAAATGACAGACACCACCTCCTGCTGCAGGGACATGAGCACAGCCAGAGGCCATCAGGACTGTCCGGCCACAGGCCCATGAGGTCATCTTTAGAAACCACTGGTTTGTTTGTTTTGAGACAGAGTTTTGCTCTTGTTGCCCAGGCTGGAGTGCAGTGGTGCCATCTCAGCTCACTGCAACCTCCGCCTCCCGGGTTCAAGTGATTCTCCTGCCTCAGCCTCCCGAGTAGCTGGGACTACAGGCATGCACCACCACGCCCAGCTAATTTTTGTATTTTTAGTAGAGACGGGGTTTCTCCATGTTGGTCAGGCTGGTCTTGAACTCCTGACCTCAGATGATCCGCCAGCCTTGGCTTCTCAAAGTGCTGGGATTACAGGCGTGAGCCACTGCGCCCAACCGTGTTTGTTTTGAGATAGGGTCTTGCTCTGTCGCCCAGGCTGGAGTGCAGTGGTGTGATCTCGGCTCACTGCAGCCTCTGTCTCCCGGGTTCAAGTGATCCTCCTGCCTCAGCCTCCTGAGTAGCTGGGATTACAGGCGTGCACCACCGCACCTGGCTAGTTTTTTTGCATTTTTAGTAGAGACTGGGTTTCACCATGTTGGCCAGGCTGGTCTGGAATTCCTGACCTCAGGGGATCCGCCCACCTCAGCCTCACAAAGTGCTGAGATTACAGGTGTGAGCCACTGCACCCAGCCTTAATTTTTGTATTTTTAGTAGAGATGAGGTTTCTCCATGTTGGCCAGGCTGGTCTGGAACTCCTAACCTCAGGTGATCTGCCTTCCTCGGCCTCCCAAAGTGCTAGGATGACAGGCGGTAGCCCCTGCGCCTGGCAGAAAGCACTGGGTTTTAGCTGTTGCCTATGTTGTGCCCAAAATACCAAGTATAGCAAAAATAATGTCATAAAAAAATTCCTATGCTGTCAAGCAGCAGAAAAAATTCTAAATAAAAACTACGAGAGCAACCACAGAAACCATGAGAGCACGAGTTTTGGTCAAAAATACGTTAAAACTACCAGAAGTGCACACCAGCCAAATAAAAAAAAAATGGCCATAATTACAACATTTAAAAGATGCAAATAGCAACCACGTGATCTGTGAAAGCTGGGGCCCACTTCCGATTATCCTAAATGGATAGATATGCTAGATGGCTATTTACATAGTCATATATTCAGTAGATAGAATATTCTGAACCAATTCTAAAAACAGTATGCTTTCTCGTTCAAGAAACTAAAAATAAAGAAACACGAGCACCCTGGTGGGTGGACTGAATTGCCCCGCCTCTGTGTCCCAACCTCACTCTGTAAGTCTTCACTCTGAAACAACTGCAGATTCAGGAAGTTGCAGAAATAGTTCAGAATGTCCCCCGCTCTCCACTCAGCCTCTCCTGACATCTCCAGCTAAAACGGTGAGCTGTTCGGGAAGGGCTGAATTCTCATTTTTATTTTTTAAAATGTCTTATTTCTTTGAGACAGGGTCTCTATTGTTCGGGCTTCAGTGCGGTGGTGCAATCACAGCTCACAGCAGCCTCGACCTCCTGGTCTCAGGTGATCCTCCTGCCTCAGCCTCCCAAGTAGCTGGGACCACAGGCGCCCGCCATCCGCCTAGTTGGCTGGCTTGCTTTCTCTCTCTCTCTCTCTCTCTCTCTCTGTGTCTTTCTCTTTCTTGACAGAGTCTCACTCTGTTGCCAGGCTGGAGTGCAATGGCATGATCTTGGCTCACTGCATCCTCCGTCTCCCGGGTTCAAGCGATTCCCCTGCCTCCGCCTCCTGAGTAGCTGGGATTACAGGCGCACGCCACCACGCCCGGCTAATTTTTTTTGTATTTTAGTAGAGACAGGGTTTCACCATCTTGGCCAGCATGGTCTTGATCTCCTGACCTCATGATCTGCCCGCCTCAGCCTCCCAGAGTGCTGGATTACAGGCGTGAGCCACCGTGCTTGGCCCTTTTTTTTTTTTTTTAAATACAGGGTCTCACTCTGTTGCCCAGGCTAAAGTGCAGTGGCACGATCTTGGCTCACTGCAACCTCCACTTCCTGGGTTCAAGCAATTCTCCAGCCTCAGCTTCCCAAGTAGCTGGTATTTGAGGCGTGTGCCACTACGCCCAGCTGATTTTTGTATTTTTAGTAGAGACGGGGTTTCACCATATTGGCCAGGCTGGTCTCGAACTTCTGACCTCGTGATCTGCCCACCTCAGGCTCCCAAAGTGGTAGGATTACAGGTGTGAGCCACCGCGCCTGGCCCTGGCTAATTTTTTGTATTTTTTGTAGAGACAGGGTTTCGCCATGTTGCCCAGGTTGATCTGGAACTCCTGGGCTCAAGCAATCCTCCCGTTTCAGCTTCCCAGAGTCCTGGGATTACAGGTGTGAGCCACTACACCTGGCATCATTTTCTTTTTCTCTCTCATTTATTTATTTTTATTTTTTGAGATGGTGTTTTTCTCTTATTGCCCAGGTTGGAGTGCAATGGCGCCATCTCAGCTCACTGCAACCTCTGCTTCCCGGGTTCAAGTGATTCTCCTGCCTCAGCCTCCCAAGTTGCTGGGATTACTGGTGCCCACCACCACGCCTGGCTAATTTTTTGGATTTTTAGTAAAAACGGGGTTTCACCATGTTGGCCAGGCTGGTCTCCAACTCCTGACCTCATGTGATCCACCTGCCTCAGCCTCCCAAAGTGCTGGGATTACAGGCGTGAGACACCGTGGCCGGCTATTTTTTATTTTTTATCAGAGTGTCACTCTGTCTGCCAAGCTGGAGTGCAGTGGTGTGATCATAGCTCACTGCAGGCTCAAACTGCTGGGCTCAAGCAATCCTCTCTCCTCAGTCTCCTGAGTAGCAGGGACTACAGGCACGTACAACCACTCATTTTCATTTAAAACATTTTAAAATTTAATTTTAAATACTTCTCGTTTTTATTATTTAATTTTTTGTGGAGACAGGGTCTCGCTATGTTGCCCAGGCTGCTCTTGGACTCCTGGGCTCAGGTGATCCTCCTGCTTCAGCCTCCCAGAGTGCTGGGATTACAGCTGTGAGACACCACACCCGGCCTTAAGTGGTTCTTAAAAGACTTCCAGCAGTGGCCAACATGGCAAAACCCTGTCTCTACTAAAAATACAAAAATTACCTGGGCACGGTGGCGCGTACCTGTAATCTCAGCTACCTGGGAGGCTGAGGCAGGAGAATTGCTTGAACCCGGGTGGTGGAAGTTGCGGTGAGCTGAGATAGTGCCATTGCACTCCGTCACGCCTGGGAGACAGAGAATGAGACTCCATCTCAAAACAAAACCAGACAAAACAAAAGACTTCCTGTGATTTCAGGGGGATCCTGATGGGAATTATATCTATCCGTTTTTCCCAAAACGTATTTGTTAGAATGTAGATGAGAAACTCTGCCCTGACCCTGCCTCTTACTAGTGTGAGGACGAACACACGCACACACATCTATGCACACATAGATACACACGCAGACACACACATGCATGCACACACAAACGCATGCCGATGAACACGTGTGACTGTGCACACCCTCATGCACACCCTCATGCACACACAAATACAGGAGGAACCCAAATTATATTGCACTTGGTACCCATGGCCACTAGAGGGCCTCAGTCAAACGTGTCTGGCTCTGGGAGTTTGAGAAGTTCCACAAATATTAAAAAAAAAAAAAAAATTAGGAGGATTCTCAAAGGATCTCCAACTTACTATTTTGCCACACAAGAGCATTTCTCCACAAATTACTGTTTATTATAATCATTTAAATGTTAAAACTTTTTTTTTTTAAGCTAGAGTTGCTCTGTCACCCAGGCTGAAATGCAAGGGCATGATCTTGGCTCACTGCAACCTCTGCCTTCTGGGTTCAAGCAATTCTCCTGCCTCAGCCTCCCAAGTAGCTGGGATTACAGGCATGTACCACCATGCCCAGCTATTTATTTTCCTCCCCTCCCCTCCCGTCCTCTCTCTCTCTCTTTCTCTTTTTTTTTTTTTTTTTTTTTTTGTATTTTTAGTAGAGATGGGGTTTCACCATGTTGGTCAGGCTGGTCTCGAACTCCTGACCTCATGACCTGCTCATCTCGGCCTCCCAAAATGTTGAGATTACAGGTGTGAGCCACTGCGCCTGACCTTATTTTTTATTATTATTTTTTGAGATAAGGTCTCACTCTGTCACCCAGGCTGGAGTGCAGTGGTGCGATCTCAGCTCACTGAAACCGCTGCCTCCCAGGTTCAAGTGATTCTCCTGCCTCAGCCTCCTGAGCAGCTGGGACTACAGGCGCCACCATGCCTGGGTAATTTTTTGTATTTTCTGTAGAGGCAGGGCTTTATCATGTTGCCCAGACTGGTCTCAAACTCCTGGGCTCCGATGGTCCTTCCGCCTCAGCCTCCCAAAGTGCTGGGATTACAGGCGGGAGCCACCACGCCCAACCTAATTGCTTAGTTTTATAAAAATCCTTTTGGGTATTTTGCTGATTTGCCAAAATTTAAAACAAGATCATTTCCCTGTCTGTGTTCCTCTGTCATCCCAGCTGTGAAAACTTCCTTTGGGAGCTTCTTTAGTTGGGAAAACTGACGCACGCAGGAACTCACCCGCTCCACTCCCTGCCCACCCGCCTGACCTAGGGCAGCTTTCATTTCCACGCCTAGACACTGCCCTTTGATTCTAAGATGGTCATGGAGACACCATCAGGTCACTTCCTGGTGACTTTGCACACGTCCCCTTGTTTTGTGAACCCAGCCAATCCCATAGTCACTTACCCAAAAGGACTCCCAGGGTGAGGATGACAAGGCTGGTGGCCACCACACCAATGGTGGTCACTCGACAGCATGCAGCGTCCGGAGTGGGGACTTCCTTGGTTGTCCTGGGCACGAGGTGTACATCAGCCACAGTAGACTCCATGGCTCAGAGACACGCAGACAGTAAGCTGGATGCCACACAGCAAGACAGAAACATGGGGTCAGAGGCTGAAGGTACTTCTCTTCCCATAAGCAAGGGTTGCAACTATGCCCTTAAAAATGGCCGGGCACGGTGGCTTACGCCTGTAATCCCAGCACTTTGGGAGGCTGAGGTGGGCGGATCATTTGAGGTCAGAAATTCCAGACCAGCCCAGCCAACATGGTGAAACTCCATCTCTACTAAAAATACAAAATTAGCCAGGCATGTTGGTGCACGCCAGTAATCCCAGTTACTTGGGAGGCTGAGGCAGGAGAATCGCTTGAACCCGGGAGGCAAAGGTTGCAGTGAGCTGAGAGTGCGCCACTGCACTCCAGCCTGGTGACAAAGCGAGACTGTCTCAAAAAAACAAAAAGGTGGAAAGTGACTGCTGGCTGGGCCGCTGTGTGAGGGTGAGGGGTTCCCGTAGGTCACTGGGGTCCATTGTTAGAAAGAGTAAGTCTGAGGTTCCCATAGCTGCTGTAAAAAAGGACCCCACACTTGGGGCCTTAGAGGAACACTGAGTTATTGGCCAGGCATGGTGGCTCACACCTGTAATCCTAGCATTTGAGCATTTGAGACCAGCCTGGGCAATATAGTGAGACCCCATCTCCACAGAAAACAAACAAAAATTAGCCAGATGTGGTGGCTCACGCCTGTAATCCTAGCAACTCAGGAGGCTAAGGCAGGAGGATTGCTTGAGCCCAAGAGGTGGAGGCTGCAGTGAGCTGTGGTCACGCCACTGTACTCCAGCCTGGGTGACAGAGCCAGACCCTGTCTCAAAAAATTTAAAAATGGAATAGATTTATTATCTCACAGTTCTGAAAGTCAGAAGCCTGAGATCCATCTTACAGGGCTCATCATCAAGCTGTGGGCAGGCCTGGGCCCTCCTGGGGACTTGGGAGAATCCATTTCCCACCTTTCCCAGCGTCCAGAGGCTCAGGGCCCCTTCCTCCCCCTTCACAGCCACAGTGCAGCCTCTTCCAGTCTCTCTCTGACTCTCACCCTCCTGCCTCTTTTTTTTTTTTTTTTTTTTTTTTTGAGACAAAGTCTTTCTCTGCTGCCCAGGCTGGAGTGCAGTGGTGTGATCACAGCTCACTGCAGCCTCCACTTCCTGTGCTCAAGCGATCCTCCCACTTCAGCCTCCTAGTAGCTGGGACCACATGTGTGTGCCACTGCGCCCAGCTAATTTTTTTTTTTTGTAGAGAGGGAGTCTTCCTATGTTGCCCAAGCTGGTCTCAAACTCCTGACCTCACGCGATCCTCCCATCTCAGCCGCCCAAAGCGCTGGGATTACAGGGGTGAGCCACCGCACCCAGCCTGAGTGCCATCTTTCGAAGGGAGGAGAATCAAAGAAGTTGTGACCACAGACTCTTTTTCTGTCACACTCATCACAACTCCTGTTGGCTCAGTGTTCAAAACAGATTCCTAATCCAGTCACATTCCTCACCATCTGTGCAGCTACGGCTCTGGACAGGCCACCAGCACAGGTCACCAGCATCCCCTCTGCAGCGACTGGCCTCTTTCCTCCCTCCCTTGCCCCTCTGTGAGCCGGTCACAGCAGTTAAGTTGCCTTTGAAATGTTCGTCAGATTACATCATCCCTGGCCACACACACATTAAATCCCTCCAGCAGCCCAAAACCCACAGTTCTGCTCCTGACTTTCACACATCATCCCTGATTTTTTTTTTTTTTTAAGAGAGAGACAGTCTCTCTGTTGCCCAGACTGGAGTGCTGTGGTGTGATCTTGGCTCACTGCAACTTCAAATGTCCAGGCTTAAGCGATCCTCCTACCTCAGCTTCCCATAGCTGGGACCACAGGTATGTGCCACCACGCCAGCCTCATTTTCCTTTTTTTTTTTTTTTTTTTTTTTTTTTTGAGACGGAGTCTCACGCTGTTGCCCAGGCTGGAGTGCAGTGGCGCGATCTCGGCTCACTGCAAGCTCCGCCTCCCGGGTTCCCGCCATTCTCCTGCCTCAGCCTCCCGAGTAGCTGGGACTACAGGCGCCCGCCACCGCGCCCGGCTAATTTTTTGTATTTTTAGTAGAGATGGGGTTTCACTGTGGTCTCGATCTCCTGACCTTGTGATCCGCCTGCCTCGGCCTCCCAAAGTGCTGGGATTACAGGCTTGAGCCACCGCGCCCGGCCCCAGCCTCATTTTTCTATCTCTCTCTCTCTCTATCGAGATGGAGTCTCGCTCTTGTCACCCAGGCTGCTGTGCAGTGGCACAATCTCGGCTCGCTGCAACCTCTGCCTCCCGGGTTCAAGCGATTCTCCTGCCTCAGCCTCCCCAATAGCTGGGATTACAGGTGCCCAGTACCACGCTCAGCTAATTTTTATATTTTTAGTACAGACGGGGTTTCGCCATGTTGGCCAGGCTGGTCTTGAACTCCTGACCTCAGGTGATCCACCCTCCTCGGCCTCCCAAAGTGCTGGGATTACAGGCGTGAGCCACCGTGCCCAGTCCCACTTTTCTATTTTTTGTAGAGAGGGGATCTTGCTATGTTGCCCGGGCTGGTTTTGAACTCCCGACCTCAGGCAACCTTCCCTCCTTGGCCTCCCAAAGTGCTGGGACCACAGGTGTGCCGTGCAGTGTCACGATCTCGGCTCACTACAACCTCCACCTCTCAGGTTCAAGTGATTCTCATGCCTCAGTCTCCCAAGTAGCTGGGACCACAGGCGCATGCCATCACACCTGGATAATTTTTGTATTTTTAGTAGAGACAGGGTTTCACCATATTGGAAAGGCTGGTCTCAAACTGCTGGCCTCCTGCCTTGGCCTCCCAAAGTGCTGGGATGATAGGCGTGAGCCACGGCGCCCAGCCGGCAGTAACTATTTTCATACTCACAAGGCAGTTAGGACTGTGTCCCTTAACTCTGCCATTATCACACTGAAGCAGCCAACCACATGTAAAGAATTAGACACAACTATGTTCCCGTCACACTTTATGGACACTAAAATTCAAATCCTGGCTGGGCGCGGTGGCTCACGCCTGTAATCCCATCTCTTTGGGAGGCCGCGGCAGGATAATTGCTTGAGTCCAGGAGTTTGAGACCAGCCTGGGCAACATAGCAAGACCCCATGTTGACAGAAAATAAAAATTAAATTAGCCGGGCGTGGTGGGGCGCGTATCTGTGATCCCAGCTACTCAGGAGGCTGAGGTGGGAGGACTGCTTGAGCCCAGGAGGTTGAGGCTGCAAGGACCTGTGGTCACACCACGGCACTCCAGGCTGGGTGACAGAGCAACACCCAGTCTCCAGTAATAATAATAAAATGCAAAAATAATTCTTAGATTGGTGGGCTGTATGAAAACGGGGGAAGGACCAGATCTGGCTCTGGTCCACAGGATGTCGCTTCCTGACCCCTGGAATAGATATCTAATCTTTTTTATTGTTTATTTTTTAGACACAAGGTCTGAGCTCTGTCACCCAGGCTGGAGTGCAGTGGTGTGATCATAGCTCACTGCAGCCTTGACCTCCCAGGCTCAAACGATCCTCCTGCCTTAGACTCCAGAGTAGCTGGGCCCACAGGTGTGCCACCACATCTGGTTAATTTTTTTTTTCTTTGTAGAGATGGGGTCTCACTATGTTGTCCAGTCTGACCTTGAACTCCTGGCCTCCAGTGATCCTCCTGCCTCGGCCTCTAGGTGTGAGCCACTGAACCCGGCTACCTCTCTGGTGTTTATAATCATTTGCCAATCGCCATTCTGGGCAATCTCCCACTGATGGGTTATCACTAAGGCTTTGAAATGTAAGAGGATTTACAAACATGAGTCCCAGAACACGGCCAGATGGCAGCCGTGTGCAACGGCGACACCATGACCTTCGTCTGTGCTCCTGCCGCTTTCAGTCTCGTTGGAGCAGGGGATTCACCCAGGGTTTCCACGAGAAACTACCTCTGTGTCGCATGGATCCCTAAGCAGAACTGGGCAGCTGCTGGCCCCTGAGGGATGTAACGGGACACCTGGGGCAGGTAGATTCCATCGGGAGCACCGGGATCCCACCTCCTGGGATTCATGCCCTCTGTGACCCCTTTTCATCAAGGGATGGCCAAGGTAGCCACAGTGGCCTCAGGTAATCTGCCCGCCTCGGCCTCCCGAAGCGCTGGGATTATAGGATTACAGGTATGGGCCACCACACCTGGCCTTTTCTTTCTTAGGCTGGAGTGCAGTGGCACGATCTCAGCTCACTACAACTTCTGCCTCCCGGGTTCAAGCAGTTCTCCTGCCTCAGCCTCCTGAGTAGCTGGGATTACAGGTGCCCGACACCACCCCGGCTAATTTTTTGTTTTTTGTTTGTTTATGTTTTTGAGATGGAGTCTCGCTCTGTCACCCAGGCTGGAGTGCAGTAGCGTGATCTCGGCTTACTGCAAGCTCCGCCTCCCGGGTTCACGCCATTCTCCTGCCTCAGCCTCCCGAGTAGCTGGGACTACAGGCGCCCGCCACCACACCCGGCTCATTTTTTGTATTTTTAGAAGAGATGGGGTTTCACCGTGTTAGCCAGGATGTCTCGATCTCCCTGACCTCATGATCCGCCTGCTCGGCCTCCCAAAGTGCTGGGATTACAGGCATGAGTCACCGCACCCGGCCACGCCCAGCTAATTTTTGTACTTCAGTAGAAATGGGGTTTCGCCATGTTGGCCAGGGTGGTTTCGAGCTCCTGACCCCAGGTGATCCACCCACCTCTGCCTCCCAAAGTGCTGGGATTACAGGCGGGAGCCACCACAGCTGGTTCCCTAGCTTACATTCTTTTATGCTCGTGAGACCCCAACAGACCTTAACCTCAAACTCTGCATGTTCTCAGCCTGCTGGGATGCCTTTCTCTCCAAAGGGGTGAATCACCTCCACATTTTCTGCAAAGGTGGATCTCATTGCCTCCCCTCCGCCTCAGCTCCCCTGGGTGTCCGCTGCGTGGGTGGAGAATGATTCTTGCCTGGCCTCCAACACACTTTTCCCCATTAGGAACCCACAGAAGGCCGGGCGCGGTGGCTCAA